CGGCGTTTGACTACATGGGAGTCCAGCGACATAGCCATTATGCTAACTACTGGTCCCCCCAAAATGCTAATTCTTAAAAAAAGAAAAAGAAAGATTGGGATTGGTATTGACGTGGGTTATTCCAGCGACATAGCCATTACGCTAACTGCTGGTTCCCCAAAATGCTAATTCTTAAAAAAAAGAAAAAGAAAGATTGGGATTGGGATTGATGTGGGTTATGGGTTGAGGCTGGGTTGGGTTTAGGGTGACGGGGAGGGTGATTCGGGGTGGCGTTGGGATATACCGGGGACACATCAGGGTTGGGGGATGCTGTGCTTGGGTGGGACTGGGTGGAGGCAGCTCCCAACCTTCCCGACTGTCACCATCCTGTCCCCCCCAGCCCTACTGCTCATGTTGGGCCAGAAGGCCAAGACCCTGGAGGTCGAGCTGGCCAAGGAGAAGGCCGTGTGCACCAAAGATAAGGAAAGTTCCTCTCTGAGCAAGCGGGTGGTGGAGGACCAGCTGGCCGAGTGCGGGAAGGCCCGGGAGCAGCTGCGTCTGGAACGCCAGCTGGTGGAGGGCCGTCTCCAGAAGGTGCAATCCGTCTGCCTGCCGTTCGACAAGGAGAAGTTCGAGACGGACCTGCAGAACTTATGGAGGGACTCCATCATCCCTCGCACTCTGGACACCTTCGGCTACGGCCTCTACAGTCACATCAACCCAGAATTGAATTCCATCCGAAGAACCTGCGACCACATGCCCACCCTCATGGCCTCCAAAGTAGACGAACTGGCCCGGAGCCTGAGGTCGGGTATCGAACGCGTGGCCCGCGAGAACTCGGACCTCCAGCGCCAGAAATTGGAGGCCGAACAGAACCTACAGGCCAGTCAGGCGGCCAAAGAGAAAGTGGAGAAGGAGGCTCAGGGCCGGGAGGCCAAACTCCATGCGGAATGCGCCCGGCAGACTCAGCTAGCGTTGGAAGAGAAGGCTGTGTTGCGTAAGGAGCGGGACAACTTGGCCAAGGAGCTGGAGGAAAAGAAGAAGGAGGTGGAACACCTCAAGATGCAACTGGCCGTGGCCAACTCGGCCCTGGACACCTGCATCAAAGCCAAGGTGGGCTGGCGGACCCCCCGAGGGAGGCCGCCCTGGAGCTGGGTCTAGGTGTCCAGTGGGTGGTGACGTGGACCTTGACCCTGGAGTTGGGTTTGAGGTTGACTTCCACATCTAGGCTGGGTTGGTGAGGAGGGCTCCTTAGAGTGTGTCTTTATTTTTATTTTTTTTTAATTCTTTCTTTATTTAAATTTGACCAGAGAGGGACAGAGTGAGAGAGAGAAAGAAGGAAAGTGAGAAAGCAAGCTGCCAGGTCCAGGACCCGAACCATGGGCGGCCATGTGGGAGTCCAGTGACACAACTGCTATGCCATCTGCTGGTTCCACCGTTTTTATTTTTTTAAAGAATTATTTTATTTAACTTCAGTGATTTACTTATTTACTTATTTATTTTTTGAAGGTGACCAGAGAGGGACAGAGTGAGAGAGAGAAAGAAGGAAAGTGAGAAAGCAAGCTGCCAGGTCTGGGACTCGAACCGTGGTCAGCCATGAGAGAATTCAGTGCCCTTCACCACCACTGAGACTTTTTATTTTTTCTGAGGCAGCATTTAGTTTCTTTTTTTTCTCTTTTTTGATTTTTTTTTTTTTTTTTTAGAGATTTTCACTGTAGGGCGCGTGCGCTCGCCAGACAGACAGAGACAGAGAGGTAGAAAGTGAGAAATC